GAGACCAGGCTGGCCTCGAACTCACAGAGATCCGCCTGCCTCTGCCTCCCGAGTGCTGGGATTAAAGGCGTGCGCCACCACCGCCCGGCAAGACTTAGTTATTTTTAAGTAATTGTTGTGGACTTGATTTTTGGAGTTAGGGGGTTTGAGACTGGGTCTCACTCTAGACCAGGCTGGCCTGAGTTCAGCGGTCCACCTGCCTCTGTCTCTCAGTGCGGGTTTAAAGCGTGTGCCACCACTGCCCTGCTTTTTTTAATTTTTTCATAAATTATTGTAATTAGGTTCTAGTGTATGTTTTAGCTGTACTGTTTTTTTTTGCTAAGCTTCTGTGTAGTTGACCGAGTGATAAATTGTAGTTGTAGGTGCTTGAGGGCGACACCCACGCAGATGGGTGTTCATTGAGTTGTCTTTTCTCCCCACGTCTTGTTGAGAGGCGCTTAGACAAGTACTGAAGCGCCCAGTTACTAACCTGGCCTTTCTCTCACTGCAGATCGCCTATGCCCGCATAGAAGGGGACATGATCGTGTGCGCAGCGTATGCACACGAGCTGCCCAAGTACGGTGTGAAGGTTGGCCTGACAAATTATGCTGCCGCCTATTGCACTGGCCTGCTGCTGGCCCGCAGGGTATGTACCCCTATGGCTTCCAGAGAGTGTCAACTGTTGGCAAGGGATGGGGTTTTGTCTGTCTTATTTTTTTTTATTGTTTCTGGATCTGTCTAGACCATCTCTGATAGAATTTTCTTCAGTGGTGGGGCTATGTGGTTTACTAAACTTTAATTATTTGTGTACATGTGTGTGGGGGCACATGCCTGTTACACACACTGGAGGTTAGGCCAACTGCATGAGTTGATTCGCTTCCATCCTGTATGTTCCAGGGATGGGTCTTTGATCAGTAGGCCTGGTGCATTAAAATGTAGGGTTGGGGGTACTCCAGATCCTTAGAATCTGTTTCGATGGGATCTCTACCACAGGAAGTTTATATATTATATGGACATTAAAGTTTGAGAAAATATCCTCACCACTTTGGGGGTGGACATTAACAAGGTTTGTTTGATGAGATTGACATATCTACTAGCAGGAGGTAAAAATACAAAGTTTGCCTTATTTTTGTGCTCTTGGAGCTCACTGTTTGGCCATGTAGTTGGCAAGCATATGCATCGGTGTTGACCCCATCATCATGGGTTGCTAAAATATGCTTTTTTAGGGGGAAGGTTGCTATGATAGGTGTAAGGCCTTGGCTTATGGTTTCACCATAGCCACATAGTGTACCAGCAGAGGAGTCCCCCAAATTAAGCACAGAGCTACAGACAGTATTAGTATTCCTAAACTACAACTGATGACATTCAGTATTTAGGTGTTGAAATTGTAACCAAATAAGACTGAAGAAATAGAGAAATCACATGACTAAATAGAAGGATTAAATCATTACATTGTTTTGATGTGAAATACATTTAGTGGTTTGAATGTTTTGAGACAGGGTTTGATGTTGACTTCTCTGTTCATAGCTTCTCAATAGGTTTGGTATGGACAAGATCTATGAAGGTCAAGTGGAGGTGACTGGAGATGAATACAATGTGGAAAGCATTGACGGTCAGCCTGGTGCTTTCACTTGCTATTTGGATGCAGGTCTTGCCCGAACTACAACTGGCAATAAAGTTTTTGGGGCCCTGAAGGGAGCTGTGGATGGAGGCTTGTCTATTCCTCATAGGTAATAAACGGTATTCAAGGTTTCTGCCTTGACCCCAGTAATTCTGTTTGTTACTGTTGGACTGTGGCAGTCACTCAGTGTGTGCTCTGTGTTTGGTGCTGTGCACAGGAACCTGAGAACGGGAAGAGCTCTGTAACTATTAGAAAAGAGGAGACAAGGTCTCCTGTCTATCCCAAGCTAGTCTGGAATTTGAGATGATCATCTTCTGCCTCCTGGGTGCTGGGATGAAAGGCATGTGCCACTGCCACCACCGCCTGGCCCTGTGCATTTCCTTTTTCTGGTTAGAGTAAAAGTTGATTTATTGAGTTACAGGGAAATGTGGCTTTTAGAATACACATTTAAGCCTAGCAGTGGTGGCGCACACCTTACTCCCAGCACTCCAGAGGCAGAGGAAGGCGGATCTCTGTGAGTTCCAGGCCAGCCTGGTTTACAGCTCAAGTTCCAGGACAGCCAGAGTTGTGATATAGAGAAACCTTGTCTCAGGGGAAAAAAAAAAAAAAAATATATATATATATATATATATATACATACACACACACACACATTTAGGGACAAAAGCTTTCAGCCATTAAGATTGCTGGACATTCTTGGAAATTAAGTAATTAATGTGTAATTCCTCAACGTTAGTGCATATTCACTTATAAAATTCTTCTTGAATAGCATCATCGATTGTGACTTTAGATAAATCACTAATTTCCCCTTATTCTAGGTACCACTGAGAAATAAAAAGATTTGAGGGTTGAATTTTTTAAAAGTGATGACCTGGCTTTGTGAATATTTGGGGGAAAGAGAAGGGCTAGAGCACAGGAGTTTGAGACTGCCCTGGGCAATATAGTTAGACCCCATGAAGATGAAAAGCAAAATTTTGTTTATGGAGTTTTTATCTTGGGGAATTAAGAGACGAGCTGCCAGTGATGACATCCCACTAACTGAGCAGTTAGTAGTTGGTCCTTTGATTGCATATGATGCAATAATTGTTTCAAGACGGGACTGACGGCAGCTCCAGAGGTGAATTCCTGGGAGTGTAGTAATTTGTCTATACACTAAAATACGGAAATTTCATTTTAGTACCAAACGATTCCCTGGTTATGATTCTGAAAGCAAGGAGTTCAACGCAGAAGTACACCGGAAGCACATCATGGGTCAGAATGTCGCAGACTACATGCGCTACCTGATGGAGGAAGACGAAGATGCTTACAAGAAACAGTTCTCTCAGTACCTCAAGAACAACGTGACTCCAGACGTGGTAAAAATTTACCTGAGCATGCCTGTTCACTTAAATACTTGTTTCAGTGGGTTGTTCTTAAACGTAGGCTTATTTCAATTGCAGAATGGAAGGTTGCATGTTGCTGTGTGGGTGGACAGGCTCCTGAGCTGCTTCGGCCTTAAGTGGAGTTAGCATGTTGGGTGGGAAAAGGATTTTTAGGTGCTGATGTAAGTGGGCTTCCAGCACTTAAAGCCTCGGGTGCAAACAGGAGTAGCCGGAAGGGTCAGATTCAGTGCAGCTGTGCAAACTCGATCACTAGCTCTGCATAATGTGGCAGCGGCTAAGGGAACCAGGTTTGCTAGAGCAATTGTGGTGATGGCAATGTACCAACCTCAGAAACTGCTGAGGTGCCCATTCTGTCCCAGAACAGTTCTGCTTTTTTTTTTTTTTTTTGGAAGAGGGTGTCACTTTCTCTTGAACTTAAACAATTAAACAGGGAGTTGATATTAAACCAGGGCTGCCTTTGAACTTAAGATAGGCCTGCTTCCACCTCCCAAACCCCTAGTATTGGAGTTAAAAGCATGAGCTACTTTTTGGATGGAATGAAAAATACATTTTAGAGTTTATTAAAATCCTAGGGAGCTGTAGGGTTCACGGGAGGAATTGTGTTTGCAAGAGTGAATTTGACATTAGAAAATTGGGATGATGTATATTAAGACAGTGGAATAATTGAAGACCATGGTTTTTGAATTTTTAGTAAAAATACAGAGCACATCACATTGTCATTACAAAGCTATTATAACTGTAAAGTATGGGTTGGAAAATCATTTTCTGTCCTCTGTGCTTTGGATATCATCTTGAGACTAAATTCATAGCTTAAGCTTTTAGGACAGGAAAAGCATGAACAGTGATATTATACTTCAGTCTTCCTGGGTCTTGTACTGACCTACTTACATTATATTTGTTCATAACTTCAGATTCCTGGGCTTTGGATGCCTGCGTGACAGAAAGAGGACATTGGATCCCATTGTAGATGGTTGTGAGCCACTGTGTGGTTGCTGGGAATTGAATTCAGCACCTCTAGAAGAGCCTGAGCCATCTCTCCAGCCCTGAGATGTGTATTTCTTAATGCCGCCTTGTGTTCATGCCACTTTGCTCTTTGGCTAATACTTTTTATTTTGTGGTGGTCAGAATTACACCTGGAGTGTTTTGCAGGGCTAAGCATACATGCTCAACCACTGAGCTTGCGTCCTGTAGTTCATTTTATCTGCAGCATTCTCTTCCTGTGTGCCTATAGAATTCTCTGCAGACATGTTTTTCAGTGTGAGTGATTTTTTTTTTTTTTTTACCTAAATCAGTCTCAGCTATGTGTGAAGCTGTATTTACATTTCTCTGTTGGGAAGAACCAGGTTATTAACTTGGACCAGTTGCAGTTTTCAGATAGGCTTGCTAGCTGTGGTGGACTGTATAATGGAGGATTGAAGGGGGGAATTTGTTTTCTGAGATGGAATCTCAGCATATATAAGGAGTACTGGGATCACATGCTTGGGCCACTATATTCAGCCAAGAAATTTAACTTTTTTTTTTTTTCTTTTTGGTGGTGGTGGTTTTTGTTGTTGTTGTTGGTGGTGGTGGTGGTTGTGTGTGTGTGGGGGGGTCTGTGTGTGGTGGTTTTTGTTTTTTAAGACAGGGTTTCTCTGTATAGCCCTGGTTGTCCTAGAACTTACTCTGTACACCAGGCTGGCCTCACACAGGGATCCACCTGCCTCTGCCTTCCAAGTGCTGGGATTAAAGGCATGTGCCACCATCACCTGGCAAGAAATTAACTTTTAGAGGGGATTTTGAGACCTGCCTTATAATCCCAACACTAGAGAGACTGAGGCAGGATTTGGAGTTTGAGTCAGTTTGCACTTCATAGGGGACTTTCTCAAAGGGGTGGGGAATGAATTGAAATTGTTGGGGTCTAAGTGCAGTTGGGTCTTCCTGCATTTCCTTTTTAAACCCCTTTGTCCATATGGAATGAGTCAGTGTAGAAAGCTGGATTACAGTCACTCTAACAAACGTGCTGGGGATCAAGCTCGTGAACACCTACTTCAGGCGGCTGCAGTTAATACTAGACATTCAGGGTTACAACCTTGGACTTCATTTTTTTAAACGAGCTATAGAACCAAGTTTCCGCAACAAAACCTAATCAAATAGGTAATGTTCAGGGTTCTAGAGGCTGTACTTGCTGCCTCATAAAAATTGGCAGTGGTAGAGTATGTGTTTGGTGCTGGGAATTGCTTTAAAAGGTCTGTCATGTAAAAGTAGATTGTAAATCTAGGGTATATGAGATAAAATTAGTAATTTCCATATTTGGTGGGGTCCCCCACCTCATGTCCTTGTCCTTAGACTCAGTTGTCGATCGGTGTGTCTTCCTTATCCCTGTATGTTTAGCATCTTACATCCTCTTGTTTGGGTGTGTACCTTCTCTTGAAAGAATGTAGGTCAGGCAGTAGACTACCGAGTACGGTGTATTTCTATAAAAACAAGTTTGTTGTAGGCTCTAGGCATGGCTGCCTTCTCACATCGATAGACATTGGGAATGCTGTAAGGAAAAGGTGGATTATACTTTGGGATTTAAGCTGGTAACATTGGCTTTATTAAGTTCCTTAGAGAACTTAGCAGGACAAACTAGAGCAGGCAATAAAGTACTGTGCCTTAATAATAGGGCATCTGAAGTGAAGGCAAATACTGTTTGCTTTGCTTTGTTCCAGATGGAGGAGATGTATAAGAAAGCTCATGCTGCTATCCGAGAGAATCCAGTCTATGAGAAGAAGCCCAAGAGAGAAGTGAAGAAGAAGAGGTGTGTGTGCTACCATTCTCTGGGAAACAAGTTTCATCTTGCTGGTCAGATGTTGAAAGCAGCTGTGCAAACTCGATCACTAGCTCTGCATAATGTGGCAGCGGCTAAGGGAACCAGGTTTGCTAGAGCAATTGTGGTGATGGCAATGTACCAACCTCAGAAACTGCTGAGGTGCCCATTCTGTCCCAGTACAGTCATGCATGTTTTACTGGCTACCTATAGAAGTGTAGTTATGGATGCTTCTTCACAGCCCACAGAACATTCATAATAATTCTGCCTCCCAGTCTTGAATAGTGGGCTTGTAGATATGAACCATCCTGCTCAGCTGAGACTGGCTTTTGAGTTTTAGAGCCATTGCAGTTGAGTACATGCATTAGAGCTTGAGATGGATATGGTGGCACTGTTTGTGATCTCAGCACCCTAGAGGTTGAGGCATGAGGATTGCCATGAGTTCAAGGCCACATAAAGGATGGATGTATCTATGAAAATCATCTCCAAATAGAGATTTTCAACCTCTACCCAGTTACAAAATCTGTCATTGTTCAGCTGAACTTGGGAGATACATTCCTGTCTTTTTATTTTGCTTTGTAGGTGGAACCGACCCAAAATGTCTCTTGCTCAGAAGAAAGATCGGGTTGCTCAAAAGAAGGCAAGCTTCCTCAGAGCTCAGGAAAGGGCTGCTGAGAGCTAAAGCAATTTTCTATGAAGAGTTTTTCATAAAGATAATAAACTTATTGACTAAGCAGCCATTTCTGTGTTGGTTCAGCTGTTATTACGAAACCGTAGGGGATAGCGTGAAGGCATGGAAGAAGCCAAGGAGTGGAGCTCAGATCCATCTGCCTTTGCTGGGATCAAGGGCAAGTAACACCATACCTGGCTGAGAAGTTTTTTTCCTCCCACAAAACAAGCTTAGTCCCCCCTCCCCCCCAGAAAAAGCCATCTTACATGACAGAGCTCTTGGGTTTCTAGTCTTCCTGGAAGGAGTCACTGTCTTTTAGCTTGTCAAATCTGGTAAGCAACAGACCGATGACAATGCAGTTGATTGTTGATTGACAGTGCAGTTGACAGATTTAACAATTTGAGCCGAAAGGGTTGTGGCTTTTCTAGTTTTCATTTTATGCAGCTGTTGAAAGGTATGTGTCAGACTTGAATATACATAGGAAAATAAATTGGAAGGGTCAAATACTAAACCTTGAATTTACAAGGAAAAGAACTAGGTGATACATTTATGCCTTTTAAGAAATAGCCCTTCATCCCACAAGAAGTAAAAATTGTGATTTATACCAGTCTGGATTTAGCTGAGGTGGTTCGGTTTTGATCACCTCTGGTCTTAAAATATCAGGCTCTGCTTTGTGGAACTTGGGACTTCACAAAAACAGTCATTACATCCCCAGCCTAAGATGTCTGTTGGCTGGTTGATCTAATTTCAGTCACAGTGGTAACTGCATGTTGACATGTGGAATACATGGTGAAGCTAAGTCACTCCAACCATTTCCTCCATCTGAAGCTAAAATATGTAAGTACAATATAATAAACCATGCTATAAAACCCAACCTTTTAATAAAAGGAGTCATTTTAATTTACCTGTGGCATTTTTAATTTGAGTTAAGGTGCAAACTCTTACCATGCTAAAACATTAGTAAATTCACATATAAATTTCCTTGTTTAGACAGCAGCTTCAATGCAAATGTATCCAGCAATGGGATTTGCTAACATATCTACAGAGCACTCACTGTATGGAATGAGGCTTTTCACAGCATTAATTTTGAGTCAGTCAAAACAGTTAACAGTGGATGTACTTGTGAACTCAGGAAGGACAGGAATGAGTTGTGGACATCTCTTGGCCCTATACCTGCCATTACTGTCATTACACATTTAATGATGGCTTCATGGGCCCAGGGGACAGAAGCCATCCTTTAAATGCTCTTAAAGTCATAAGTAGATTCTTAATGATGGCAATGCAGTCCAAATGAACTAAGAGTCATTTGTGTAGGAAATTTTCTTCCACAGTAATGTTTTTAGGTTATTTAATATCAAAGAATGTTCCATTTCCATTTGGTTTGCTGTGACTTTGAGAGCAATACAAGAATAGAGTTGCTTTTCCAATTCTTCCCGGATTTCACTTGGAGCACCATGCAGTAAGTAGTCTTTGAGGAGCTGACAGGCTTTTGCCAAGTTTGGTTGTATCACTTCTGAAGTGCACTTCATGGTGCTCTGGTCACAGCTAGTTCTACAGTCTGTACCATAGACACAGTCCAGGTCAGACTCACAGTGGCGATCCTTAATAAGTTCCTTTAGGTTTGTTTCTGGCACGATTTTTCTCATGTCCACCATCTTCAAGTCATACTTCTCATTATATCCTAGGTTTTTGGCACTAGTATCACACATGAGGAAGTTTCCATAGGGGCCATGGAAAACATCCTCCACAAATTCTAGAAGTCCTATGGCTATCTTGGCTTTTCTAGGCCATGACGGTGTGAACAACTGATCCATGCTCCTTCTGAACCCAGATGGAATAAGAAGTTCAATGACCCATGGAAGACTTATTCCGTAGAGAGAGGTATATTCAACACTTTCCATCACATAGAGATCACCACAGAATCCCATTAGTTTGGGGGTGTGTTCTTTATCTTGAAGTATTACCATCAGAAGAAACTCATTTAACTGGAGAAGTGCCCATGCTGACTTGGCTTCTCCTAAGGAGACCTGGCCATCTCTGTCTCCGTCAGCCACTGTCAGGATGAGGTTAACCAATTCAGAGAGGTTTCCTTGGTCACCTAATTTAGCCTGTCAAGATAAGGATTTGTTGAGTTATGCAAAAGGAATAAAAACTAGGAGGATCCTGATTTTAAGCTTGTGTAGTTTAGCAAGTAAGTCTTGAGTCTAAAAAACATGCTGAAAAGTAGTTCTTCCTTGCCAGTCTAGAGTACTATGTGCGAGGGTCCTGAATTTAATCCCTAGGTATCCATGTAAAAGAGTTCTTGTAGGTCATGTCACCATGCTAGCAGTTCTCTTGCTATAGAACCAAAGAACTCCCTATATCCCAAATACTGAACATTGTTACACACGTACGTTGTGTGTGTGTATGTCTGTGTACACAGGCAGTATGTATGAATTTGGTGTGGGGGTGGGGTGATGGAAGCTGGAGGACAACTTGTGGAAATCAATTTTCTTTCCACCCTGTGGGTTCTGGAGATTGAACTCAGGTTAATAGACTTGGTGGCAAGTGACTTTATTCTGAGTCATCTCCCTAGAATAAAACAGTAAATTCTAACTACTATTTTTGTTTTTGAAAATAAAACCTAAAAAATTCTGAAACTAAGAAAAACATAAACAGGTATTTTTCCTTTCTTTTGAGATGGTCAAATGTAGGCCAACAGACTCTGAACTGATTCTCTTGCCTCTTCCCTTCCAAGACTTTGGATTATAAGCATTCCCCAACATGAATTTCTTTAGATTTAAATAATAATTTCAAATTCAGTGTAATGGCACACACCTATAGTACTAGTTACTCAGAAGGCTGAGGCAAGATTCCAATTCAAAGTAAGTTTGGTCAATTTAGTCTATTTCAAAATAAGTTTTTGCTGTTTTTTTGTTGTTGTTGTTGATGATGATGATGATGATTTGTTTTTTGTTTTTTTTTTGAGACAGGATTTCTTTGTTTAGCTTTGGAGCCTGTCTTGGAACTCACACTGTAGACCAGGCTGGCCTCAAACTCACAAGATCTGCCTGCTTCTGCCTCCCGAGTGATGGGATTAAAGGCTTGCGCCACCACTGCCCGGCTTCAAAATAAGTTTTTAAAAAGATAAAAAGGAAGGGCTAGGGATATAGTTTAGTGGTCCTTGGTTCATTCCCCATATAAGAGGAAAGGACAGGATGGGAATCCAGGTATCTAGACTACATGAATTTTATTTCACTTTTTTGGTATCAGATTTATTATTTATGCACGTGGCCTCACACTGTAGCCCAGGCTGGGCTGGAACTTAACTATGTAGCCCAACAAATCCGACCTCAAACTTGAGGCAACTATCCTGCCTTAGTCTCCCAAGTAGCTTAGATTACAGGTATAAGCCATTGTGCCTGGCTCTGGTTATCAGTTGAATGTCAAAATGTGCAGCAATCTAGTGTCCCTCAATTCTATTTATACCTATTATAAATATAAAGGTTAACATCCTTCAATTTTTCCCCCTTTCTTTGGAATCATTTCTTCAGGATGGAGTCTCTAATGGAAGTAAAAGAATGTCAACAATACAATGACGGAAGACGGGCCTGTGGGTTCCTCTGTAAGAATGCAGCTTCATACTGGAGGTGTAGGACTAGACACACTCACCTTAAAGAGACTGTAGACCATTTCTTTGAATTTCTGTACAGTAGTTCCCCTGGTTGGTTTATCAAACAGCACTATTTCTTTTCTTGGCTCCAATTCAGTTCCAAAATCAAGATGAAGAGCTTGTTCCATTTGACATTTCACAACACCTGGTAGATTATCCCAAATTCCTAAATACATCTTTGTGAAAAAGAATGACAAGTTAGTGTCATATGAGAGGAGACTGTACAGAGCATACAGCTGCATTTTGTTCAGGGCCCCCTTCTCTACAAAACATAAACACGCATTGAACCACTCAGCTAGATCTGTGACTGTATTTTTACCTTTTTGAGACTCTCACTGTGTAGCCCAGGCTGGCCTCAAACTCATATCCTCTTGCCTTAATCTCCTGAATACTATGTGCACGACATCATACCCAGCTCCTGACTTCATTTCTAAATGCAAATCTGAAATATTCCCGAAGCCTTTTCTTTAAACGACTTAAAAGATGAACATAATACATACCTAAATACAGTTTTTGGAAAGTAGAATTAGAAGGATACAAAAGTAAGGTCCACTATGTTCTATTTCTCTGGTCCCTAGTTTGGGAGGAGATTTTGTACTTTTGTATAATGCACAAAAAATGTGCAGCTAAGATTTAGGGTCTCCCTAAGCTGTTTAGGCTGGTGGCAAATAATGGACATTAAGTGGGTATGATGTATCAAATTAACATTATATAGTATTTACTACATTTGCAAGGCTAAGTTCCCTGCAACAGCTCCCTAAATGGTGTGGTAAGCTTGGAGTAAAGTCAATTGCAATGGAAACTCAAAGAAGACATCAGCGAAGAACAAGGAATGTGTGCTGAGGGTCTTACAGGCAGTATAACAAGTGGTCTTCCACCAGTGACTCCAGGTGGGTGGGTCTGCTGGAGCCCTCAGGAGCCCGCATGTCAGTGTGTCTGAATGCCAGAGAAGCAGCTGTAGGACTTAACCTTGATAATGTCCAATCTCGTCTTTCTGTCCCCTCATTCCTCCATTTGGGATGGGATTTTTTTTTTTTTTTTTTTTTTTGGTATATTCTGTTGTTTTATCTTCCCTTTTAAGACAGGGATTCTCTGTGTAGCCCTGAATTTACTGGAACTTGCTCTGTGGACCAACTCAGAGATCCCCTGCCTTTGCTTCCCTAGTGCTGGGATTAAAGGCGTTCACCACCACACCCGACCTGTAGTTTGATTTTTGATACAGCGTTTTTCTTTATGTAGCTCTGGCTGTCCTGGAACATGCTACATAGTACTAGCAGCCTAGTACTTTGAATTCCCAGCCTTGAACTCATGGAGATCTGCCTGCCTCTGCTTCCCATACGCTGGAATTAAAGGTGTGCTCCAACACACCCGGCAGGCACAGATGGGAATGTTCACCCCCAGGACATTATACCCTTGGAGTTGAATATGATTTTAACAGAGGGCCCCTGAAGTTTTCTTCACTAAAGCAGCTGAGGCTTTGGGACTCTGGCTGTGGATGTCACTATAAGGTGGACAGAAGAGATCTGCCCTGGAGAGCTGAGTTTATGGAACGGCAGCTCAGGCTGTGACTACCCTTGGATTATTCCATTTTATAAAGCCTTGCTCTGAGTTACTCCAGCTTGAGGGCAAGTGCTAACAAAGAGTAGTTCTGCATATTATTCCTACAAATAACCGACCACCATTTGCAGCACTCCAGGAGGCAACAACTGATCGATCAGGTTTTTGTTTTTTTGTGCCAATAAATAACGGCACATCACAATATACCAAATCATAGTAGGAACACTAAACAGATGGACTTTCAGTTACACCAGGTGGAAGTCCTTCCTCACAGTGGACTGCAAAAAAGCCAAACCTCAAGACTGAAGCCTGACAGGCAGTCACTTGTCCTGAACCTCATCCAGGAAAACTGCCATAATCTTATTTTTTTCTTTATATTGCTTTGATGATAAGTGAGTAGAAGTTTTTCTACATCGTATTTATCAGTTCTTTGTGGTTTACTTGTGATTAAGCTCACTCTCCTATGCCTACAGTTTAATTTCTCTTGAAGTATGAGCTCAAACATTATCTTTTTTTTTTTTTTTTTTGGTTTTTTCGAGACAGGGTTTCTCTTGTGTAGCTTTGCGCCTTTCCTGGAGCTCACTTGGTAGCCCAGGCTGGCCTCGAACTCACAGAGATCCGCCTGGCTCTGCCTCCCTAGTGCTGGGATTAAAGGCGTGCGCCACCACGCCCGGCTCTATCTTTTTATTTTTTTAAGAGCCTTTTTTTTTTTTGGTTTTTTTTATTATATATGCAGTGTTCTGCCTGCATGTGTCCCTGCAGGCCAGAAGAGGGCACCAGATCTCATTACAGATGGTTGTGAGCCACCATGTGGTTGCTGGGAATTGAACCCAGGTCTTCTGGAAGAGCAGTCTGTGCTCTTAACCACTGAGCCATCTCTCCAGCCCAAACATTATCTTTAAAAAGCTTCCCTGAAAAAAAAAAAACAAAAACACACACACACACACACACACACACAAAACCTTTCCTGAATACCAACTTGATTTATGGTGCTGATTTATTTATTTATTTTTGAGACAAGATCTCATGAATCCCAAGCTGCCTCAAACTGGCTATGTAGACAAAGGTAACCTTACCCTCCTGGCTCTACCTGCTTGAGAGTTAAGATTACAGGAATCTGCAGCGCTATGGATAGAACCCAGGACCTTGTGCAGGGTAGGCAAATGCTCACTCTAACGACTGAGCCACATCCCCAGCACTGAGTACCAACTCCCAAGGACACCCATCTCCACCTCCTTTGCTACGTCACCTTGTGTTTTCCCAGATAGGACATACTATATTTATAATGATTTTATTATTTATGTATTTATTATTTGTTTATCTATGAGCTGTTTGTCTCCCACCCTTCTGGGTAATACAAGGTGCTTAAGGAAAGTCATCCCACTTGTCTTCATCACAATCACACTCCTCATAGCTCAAATGGTGTCTAAGATGCTGGGGAAGGGAATTGAGAAGTCTTTGTTTTATTTCATTTGTGTCAGAGTCTTTCTAGGTAGTCCAGCCCTCAAGTACTTGGATCATAGACAAGCACCACCATGCCTTCCTTAATAAATACCTACTGAATGAATGTATCAAACTATACAAATGGAAATACATAAAATTCCTCAAGCTTTGATTCAAGAATATTTAGTTGTGTATGTTTTTGAGGAGATGTTTTGTTTTGTAAGACAGGATCTTGCTATATAGTCCTCTCTCTCCTAGAATTTGTTCTTTCCAAGACAGGGTTTCTCTGTGGAGTCCTGCCTGTCCTGGGACTCTGTATCCGCCTACCTCTGCCTTCCTAGTGCTGGGATTAAAGGCTTGTGGTGATATTGTGTTCACCAAAATACTGTGCACCCTAATAAACTTATCTGGGGTCACAGAACAGAACAGCCACAATATTAAACATAGAGGTTAGGCAGTGGTAGCACAACGCCTTTAATCCTAGCATTCCAGAGGCAGAAATCCCTCTGGATCTCTGTAAATTCAAGGCCACCCTGGAAACAGCCAGGCATGGCGACTCACGCCTTTAATCCCAGGGAGTGATGGCAGAAAGCAGAAAGGTATATAAGGCGTGAAGACCAGAAACTAGAAGCTTTTGGCCTGGTTAAGCTTTTAGGCTTAGAGCAGCACAGTTCAGCTGAGAGGCATCCAGTCTGAGGAAACAGGATCAGCTGAGGAATTGGCGAGGTGAGGTAGCTGTGGCTTGTTCTGTCTCTCTCATCTTCCAGCATTCACCCCAATACCCAGCCTGGATTTGTTTTTATTAATAAGACCTGTTAAGATTCCTGCTACAAAGGCTCACACCACCAACACCTGGAGCTTCAAGAATTTCTTAATAATGCTTTTGGTTTAAGGGAAATTTTGGGTTTACTAGTCAGGTACAGGGTACACGATGGAAGGGACAATTCTCAGAAGATGGAGACAGAATGACTAAGAAAAGCTACAGCCAGAGTCAAAGGCCAGTCTGGCTGCACAAGACTGTAGCAAAACAGTAATTCATGATGGTGGTGGTGGTTGGAGCTACTGACGTTCTGGAGTACTTATTTACTGTCCATACCTGGTTGCTGGGCTTGGTGGACAGACATTTTCCCAAGTACAGAGTTTCTGTGACGCAGAGGCTGTTGCATGCAGGCCCGTCAATAACTCCTGTCTTGTATTTATCACACTGGAGACCAGGAAATAAAAAAGCAGTAAGTGTTCATAGGTAGAAATATCGGAAGGTTCTGAGTAATTAATAGTTACAGTCTTTAAGAGAAAGTTCTCAAGCCAGAAGGTGATGTTGCACACCTTTAATCCTAGCACTCGGGAGGCAGAGGCAGGAGGATCTCTGAGTTCCAGGCCAGCCTGGTCTACAGAATGAGTTCCAGGACAGCCAGGGCTACACAGAGAAACCTGTCTCAAAAGAAAAAAAAAAAGAGAAAAAGACACACACGCAGAGAGGAGGGGGAGGGGGAGAGAGAGGGAGGGAGGAAGGGAAAGAGGGAGGGAGAAATCAATCTCATGAAAAGAACTCAGGTTTTGGATTTAGACAGACCTACCAGGATTTGAACCCAGGTGCTGTTATTTACCAGCTCTGTGAGAAGCATGCTGCATGCTACTGGAGTGCACACAGAATTTTGGAAGTATTTTTCCCACTCAACATGGTCTGAAGCAGTATGGTTTCTACTCTATCCAAGAAGAGAAGTACTATATTTTTTTGCAAAGTTCTGATTTTTAACCAAATTTAAAAGTTTAAAAAAACAAAATAGTATTACCTTAATAATTTGACATCCTTGAGGTCACACAAAAACAAGAAAGGAAATGAGAAAAAGAAGCATCTCCTCTATCTTTGACAAAATCATATTCAAAGCTGGTTGGTGGTATGTGCCTGTATTCCCAGCACTCACAGGACAAAGGCAGGAGGACCCTGAGTCTGAGGACAGCCTGGGCTACAGCAAGACCCTGCTTCAAAACAAACAAAAATACATGAATGTAACCCTAAGCACAATAAATGGAGATAACCTCCTAAAGTCAAAGATTATGTCAGAGGCCAGAAGTAGCTGAGATTAAACTCCTGCTAGGCATCAAAGTTGGGAGGGCACCATATAGGAATTCAGCTAAGGAGCAAAACCATCACTGTGGTATGCAAGGTTTAAGGGATACAAGATGTTGGAATGTCCAGAATTCCATTTGGCTTCTTCAATGCAAGGCTGAATGGCAAAATCCTTAAACTGTTGTCTCTGTTAGAAGCAAGCAGTTGGTGGACTAGAGTTGGGAGGGACTGTCATAGGCAGCCCTGCAGCTGCTGGAGACACACAAGGGAAGCCAAGCTGTCTCTTGGCCTCACCTTTTCTCTCTTTTTCATATATAACGCACACATGAATATGCACACACAGCTTCACTTCTACTTTGTTTTACTGCTCAGTTGTTTATGAAAGAATACAAAAAGCAAATGTCAAATAAAGAAATATCCAGAACATTGCTGTGAAGAGGCAGAGCAGAAATAGTGCTATGAATTCGAAGGATTTACTGATGTCCCTTAAATAAGACCTCAAAGCATCAGAAACAATGGAACAACAGAAGGAAATGTAAAATACAGTAATGGAACTTGGAAAGGAAAGGAACAAAAACATAGAAAAAAAAAGCCACATTGTAGAGACTGGAGAGTGGTTAAGAGATGGGTCAGTGGTTAAGAGCACTGGCTGCTCTTACAGAGGACCTGGGTTCAGTTCCCAGGACCACATGGTGACTCTAGCCATGACTAACACCAACCATGGGAATCTGATATCCTCTCTAGCTTCTACTGCATGTACACGGTATACATACAGACAAGCAGGCACACATACCTACCCATTAAAAAAAAGAGGCACATTGTAAAAGGTAGTGCAGAAGGATAAATAAGAGAAAAAATACAGAAAGACTTATGGGAGCTATATTGAGAAAACTGGGGGAAATGGAATAGGGACTGAAAACAATGAAAAGAATTAGAGATAAATCTGTAGATGACATAGGAGATAAAAGCATGTCCACGTGTCAGAGTTTGCATCTGGATCACCCCCAAAGGCTTATGAGCTGGAAGCATGGTATCCAGCTGGTGGCCACTGGAAGGTGGTGGAAATGTCAGATGGTAAAGCTGAGCTGGGGACTAGAGAGATGGCTCAGTGGTTAAGAGCACTGGCTGCTCTTTCAGAGGACAAGGGTTCAATTCCCAGCACCCACATGGCAACTCACAGCTGTCTGTAATGCCATTTCTAGGGGATCCAACACCCTCACACAGACATGTATATGCAGGCAAAATGCCAATGCACATGAAATAAAAACAAACAAACAACGAAAAGCTGAGCTGGAGGACACAGGCCACCGGGAATGAGAGAGACTCTGAAGGGAATGTTTTGCTCTCTGCCCTTCCTTCTCTCCCACTCTTTGCTTCTTTGGCAACTATGAAGCCTCCTTCACCACAGGCTCCGCCAACATGATGTTCTACCTCCTGCCAGGCCCAAAGCAGTGGATCTCAGCAGGCATGGACCACAGCCTCTGAAGCAATGAATCACAAGAACTCTCCTTCCTTTCAGCTGTTCTTCTTGGGTGCACTATCACCCGCCTTGACACAAACGTGACAAGAACATACTACACGAGGGAGAACAGGAAACAGTGGGAAAGTGGGAAACATACTTTAAGTGGATTTCAAAAGCTTCATATAGGGCCAGGCAGTGGTGGTGCACACCTTTAATCCCAGCCACTTAGGAGGCAGAGGCAGGCGGATCTCTGAGTTTGAGGCCAGGTCTACAGAGTGAGTTCCAGGACAGCCAGAGCTACACAGAGAAACCCTGTCTCAAAACAAAAAACAAAAAACAAAACAAAACAAACAGAAAAAAAGAATAATTCAGACTATGGATATAAATGAGTAAGTAAAGAAATAAACATATAAATAAAGCATCAATCAATCCTTTGAGGACTTGTGCAAAAAGATCAAAGCTCCTTCACGGGGAAGGAGTCGGAATGGGGTCAAGTGTCTCCCAGGCTACTTTAGGGGTGGACAGCAGTAGGGCAATGCTGGAAGCTTTGGAAAAGGTAGTATGATTTGCTTGTGTCTTGGTTCTTTGTAAAAGCTGATGTCAACAGTGTTTGATTCATGGCATCATTGTGAAGATTGAACAGTATGGTAACTACAGGTTGACTGGAACTTCAATAAGTACTGCATGATACCTAACCTTACTTTACACAAATTTTCTTCCAAGTAAAAAGCATCAGTGCTGGATTGATGGCTCAGCCATCGAAGGTTAGGCTCACAGCCAAAAAGGCATCAAATATTTCTGAACATTTAAGTTTCACAAAAGAGAGTTCTCACTAGTGTCTCTTGAAGTTATTAAGGATAAATTTCAGCCAATAAAGGGATAAATGGGAAAACGGAACGTGGCAGCCAGTTGAAAAGCAGGTCTGGGATGAAAACAGCCACGGCAACAAACCAGGAGCTGTTCACGGAGCCCCGCCAGGCCTGTGTCTGCTGCGCGGCAAGCACTGCCCCGGGACCACACAGCGTCTTTATCGTGACAAATTATGTGACACAGAACCTATTACCACTTCCACTGTAAAGCTAAGGAAACAGAAATGTTAGTTAAGGAACTTTTAAAAGCCAGGATCCCAACAGAGGCAGCCTAGCTCTCAACCAGTCCTGTGTCAACTGGGAATGCTCCAGGCTCCTGATACCTGCTCTCACTACCACCAGCATTTGGTGCACTTTGCTGTGAAGACAAGGATGGTCCTAAAAGAGCTTGAGAGCCCTTCCCACGTGCAGAGCAAAGTGCTAGTACCTGGATATGTTACCTTTAGATACCAACAGCAGAAGATTTTGAGATAAGCCTTTGGCTGTGTTAGCTGTAACTAAAAATGTGGAGTTCTACCTTCATAGAAGGAGTAATGCAATCTAGTCCCTGCCTTAAGTTTGGGAGGCCATGGAGGTGGAGTGACATTCAATACCCTTCTTTGGTTTGGTCAACCTCTGGAGATTTCTTAGGAAATGCAGACATCTGCATGGGTATCTGTTTGGCAGGAGATAGCCAACCATCTCACTGGCACACTTCTTCCTGATGCAGACGCAAAGGTGTGGGAACTCTGAGGCCTCACAGTATAAAGTGAAGGAAGCCTCCTCAGGAACAGTCTACAGAGGGATTTAAACCATGCAGACCACATATCCTCTGACCACAAATGAATAAATATATTGGAGGGAAAACAGAAGTCATTAAAGACCCATAGTTCACCAAGCGTGGTGGCGCACGTTTTTAATCCCAGTTCTTGGGAGGCAGAGGCAGGTGGATCTCTGTGAGTTCAAGACCAGCCTGGTCTATAAAATGAGTTCCAGGATAGCCAGGACTATTATACAGAGAAACCCTGTTTCAACAAAACAGACCCATAGTTCAAATATAGCCCAATGCAAAAATAACTAAGTAAATAAATGAATAAATAAATATTTAAAAAGAGATGAAAATAAAATTTACTGAAAGGCTATGTAGAGAGAAGTAAAGGAAGATGGGCATTTGGAGTAAGAGTTCATCACGGCAACTTGGGCTACAAGGTGACTTCTAGGCCAGTCCGGACTAGAATGAGACCCTACTTTTAAAGAGAAGGGGGAAAATGAAGAGGAAGAGGAAAAGGAAGGAGAAAAGGAGAGGAGGGAGGAAGGAGGAAGAAGAAATCTAAAAGGAAACTTCAAGGCACATTCCTAAATAATTTGGGTTGAGGTAGAATTCAAAATGAAAATGCAAAATATTCAGAATGGAACAAAATTAAAACTTGTAGGATACAAGTAGCATCTCTTAGAGGGGAATTTACAGCTTTAAATGCAAGGCTGAAAAAACATGAAACTAAACTTAAGCATTAAAGATGCTCAAACTTGCCGGGGCGGTGGTGGCGCACGCCTTTAAACCCAGCACTTGCAGAGCCAGGCAGATCTCTGTGAGTTCAAGGCCAGCCTGGGCTACCAAGTGAGCTCCAGGAAAGGCACAAAGCTACACAGAGAAACCCTGTCTTGAAAAAACAAAAAAACAAAACAAAACAAAACAAACAAACAAGCAAAAAAAAGATGCTCAAACTTTAAGCTTAAACTACGTTAAGTCTAAAGAGGCTCACAAAACCCCAGCACTAATGGCAGCAGAGTAGACTCCTCAAGATGCAGAGGTACAGGAGCAA